TCGGTCGGACACAACATCTTTGTATGTGGTGCTGAGGATCGAACCCGGGCTGCACGCATGCCAGGCGAGCGCGCTACTGCTCGAGCCACATCCCCAGCCCCAACTTTAGTCATTCTTAAGGGCATGTAGCCATTGTGTTTTATCTGCAGATTTGAAAAATATGTCTTATTGCTTAACAGTTATAGGGATTTATTGTCTATTTTAATGGGCTGCTTCTGAGGGACTAATTACCATTTAATTACTTTTTGCATGTCACAAGGAATCAAAAAAGTATTCTGCTTACTATGTAGAATGGCTCCTTGCTCCCAAACAGTGTAGTTATTGCCTTTGTCCTATTTCCATTCCTACCTAGATTTCATTATATTAAGCTTCCTTCAAAAGCTGTATAAAATTCCTATTTAGGGTTTATTCTTCTACTTCTGGGAGTATTTATATTTGCTTTCCAATTTCCTGAACTGGCTAACTTTGGTTGAATAGAAGTCTTATTTGAAGTCACTCCCATTATCTAGCTAAAAACCTCTCCTTTGTAATCAAATGTTGGTCTTATATAAAAATGAGTATATTGTTATAACTATCAAGTATATATCTTCCTGAAAATAAGAGTACTTTAGGTCTCATTTGGATGCCTAAGGGAACAAAATTCTGGTCTTATTTGTGGATTGTTGGGATTTTGGGCAGCCACCTCCCCCAGAATTGTACGTGAGTGCCTGTATACTTACTACTTCAATTCTGTAATTAACATTTAGCTGCTTTTGCTTAATCACATATCTGTTCAACTTTTTTTTAATATTTATTTTTTAGTTGTAGTCAGACACAATGCCTTTATTTTATTTATTTTTATGTGGTGCTAAGGATGGAACCTAGGGCCTCACACGTGCTAAGTGAACGCTCCACCGCAGAGCCACAACCTCAGCCCATGTTGAACTTTTTGTATAGTGTAGGCTACTGCCTTTCTTTGGAAGAAACATAAATTGGTAGATCTTACTGGGCAGTTGGTACTTTTGTGTGGCATGTAGGACTTAGTGGTTCTCTGATGAAATAGTCATATAAAAGTGGCGACTATCTCTTGATCCTGATTATCATTGGTTTAGATCTCAACTATTTATTTTCAAATGAATTCCAACTAGATTACATTTCAAAAACAGAGGAAGCTGGGTTTGGTGGTGCATGCCTATAATCCCAGCAACTCAGGAGGCTGAGGCAGGAGGATAGCAAATTCAAAGCCAGCCTCAGCAAGTTAGTGAGACTCTAAGTGAGTAGTTCTTCCAACATCTCCATTAGCTACAGAAATTACAAGCCACATTTTGTGGGGATTAGGAAATTGAGGTTTAGTGAGATTGAGTAATTTACTTAAGGTCCCACCTGTAAATGGTACAATTAATTTTAAAACCCAAGTGTGTCTGACTCTAAAACCTGTGCTTTGAACTAGGAGTTTTACTGAAAGTTCTCCTTTATTGCAGAATTTGTATTTTGCATTTACTCATATCTTTAGAATTATACAAATTTGGGGGCCACACCTAATTTGAGCCTGGTTTAATAGTATTCTTATGGGATGGAGTGTGCTTTTTTTTTTTTTTTTTTTTTTTGGATAGAATGCCTTTATTTTATTTGTATAGGTGCTCTGGATTGAACCCAGTGCCTCATACATGCTAGGCAAGCACTCTGCCACTGAGCTATAGCTCCAGCCCAGGATGGAGTGTTTTTTATATAAATATTTTTATGACTGTGAAGACCTCTTAATTCTTGAGGAAGGAGGACTCTTTTTTCAAATCAGACGTCCTAGGGTTTTTACTGACCTCACTTCATTCTCTGAAGAATGAAGATCCCTCTTTGTATTAAGCTGTGGAATGCGAAGCATTCTTTCTGTAGTTGAACCAGGTAAATATTATCGGTATATTTAGGATATGGCACTGCAAGTTATTTCCTATCTTTTTTTTTTAAAATGAGGCTTTTGGGATGTTAGCCATTTGAAGCTTAGTCTTACTAATAAGGAAAACCTAAGCAAGCTCCCTTACTCCCTGGCTCCTCTTAAGTTAAGCCTCACTTAAGTTTCTCTGAAGACTTTTAGGGGTTATTTTTGTGAGAGAGCCAAGAAGGAGTGCATTTTGATTTGAAAAATGAGTGGGTAGAGGTGTGTTTTGAAAGCAATAGTTCTTCGTTTTTTTGGAGATAACATTTTTTTAAATATATCTTTTTAGTTGTCCATGGACCTTTATTTTGTTTATTAATATTCGGTACTAAGACTCAAACCCAGGGCTTCACACACGCTAGGCAGGTGTTTTACCACTGAGCTACAAATCTAGCCCCATGTACTCCTTTTCAAAGATGATGAGAGTTAATGTATTCTTTTCCCAGTAAGAAAATGTATAACATGTCTGTGAATTCAGTTGTATATGCAAATTCTGTAGATTGATGATCTCTCAAAACTATTACCAGAGTATCCCCAGATTAAAATCCCTTAAAGGAAAAAAATTAGGGTTTGAAAAGTAAGATTTGAGCATTAGTTCTTAAACATTTTTTTCAAATGTTCATCTCATTAAATAAAATTGTTTAACCAAAAATTTTGTTTTAATATGTAAGATAATTTGTTCAGTCTCTAAGATGCTAGTTTCACCTATTTTGTTAAACAAACTATTAACATGGATATTTGTGAGTAAGCAAAGATTCCTAAGGATGGATAGATTCTCTGATTATTATTTTTTTTTAAAGACTGAGAGAGAGGGAGAGAGAGAATTTTAATATTTATTTTTTAGTATTTGGCGGACACAACATCTTCACTTGTATGTGGTGCTGAGGATCGAACCCGGGCCGCACGCATGCCAGGCGAGCACACTACCGCTTGAGCCACATCCCCAGCCTAGATTCTCTGATTATTTCTGATTATTTGTTCTACAATAAAATATTTTCTCAGAACTACCAAGGCCAAAGAATTAGAAGGAATCCTTTGCCAACCCCTAACTTTCAGTTTCCATTTCTTCTTTAACTAAAATGGCTTCATACATAGTTTTCTGTGGTGGTGTTGGTGGTCCTGGGATCTGACCAGGGTCTTATGCATGCTAGGCAAGCACTCTGCCACTGAGCTACGTTCTAGCTTCCTGGTACTCCTTTCCTTTTTAGGTATTGTGATGTGAGTGCGCAGGCATTATTCAAGACATGTTAATTAATTACATTAATCCTCACAAGGACTCTGTTAGGGACTTCTTGTCCCCTTTTCACAGATATGAAAAGCAAGGCTAAGAAACATTAAATAACTCTTATAAAGACTAATTTTGATGTTAATAGCCAGGGCCAGAATTTTGTTCACTTACATCTAGGTTCAAAGCCCATATTTTTTTTTCCATTTTTTTACCATTCTGTTGTATGATAAGAGTTGAGTGTGTGTTTTTGATCATTAGTCTGACCTGGTCTGAATAAAAGTCCAAGTTTCCATCAGTAAAAGGGACTCTCTTTGTTGTTCTTCGGTATTTATTTAAAAATAAAACCTAATGTTTGTTTGTTTTTTTTTTGTATAAGTTCAGGTTGTGAAATGTCAAGAGTGCTGAATTTACTGGCTAGATAGTTAAACCTAAAATAAGGAAGAATGCAAGCTGAGTGATCTCTTGCCTGTTGTGTTTATATAAGTGGATGTTTCGGATACCAGACTCTCTCTGTCTGACAAAAGCAATTCCAGTGACTGAAAATCGTGTGGAAGGCTTGTTACTAAACTTAGTGTCATCTTCAGGGAGGAAAAACCCTAATGGTTTGGAACGGAACTGAAAAAGAATTTAACTCCAAAAGGGTAGATAAGTTTTAAATATTAAATTGATTAGAGGCCAGGTGTGTATTTCCTGTCTCTCTTGGGATAGCCATGGTAGGGAACCTCCAGGCGAGCCGCCCAGTGTTTTTGCTGAGATGGACAGGCTGGGTCAGCATTCTGGGGAGTGAGCAAGTTTTATGAGACTCAGCATCTTTCTTGACAAATTCTTTTTTTTTTTTTTTTTTTTTTTACAAATTTGTACTTTTCCTATTTCAGCCTTTTGTACACAGTGAAACAGGAAGGAGAATGAATAGGTTGATTTACTGTTTAACCTTCGGTGTTTGTTGTTGTTTTGTTTCCTTGGACAGATTACACAGGGCTTTAAGTGAGATAGCACAGAGTCGGAAAAAAAACAAGTCCTGGCCTGAGGTTGTAGCTCAGTGGTTGAGTGCCTGCCTCACATGCATGAGGCACTGGGTTCAATCCTCAGCGCCACATTAAATAAGTAGATAAATAAAATAAAGATATGTGTATCCATCTACAATTAAAAAAATATATATATTTTTTAAAAAAGTAAGTCCTGAGGGATTAATTGAAGTGATTGGGAGAACAAAGGAAGTTGGGTCAGATAATGTAAGTTTAGGAAAAAAATGTCCTTGCCTTTTTAAAAGCCAAGTGTTAGAAGAAACTAGCGTGTATGAAGTTTAGTACTGTTTAACCCCCAAGGTAATAAAACGTGGTATAAAGGAAAATTGACTAATTTGAAGATATGGAGAGAAATTGGATATAAATTGAAAAGGAACTGTTTTGAGTCATATTTTTTGAATCCCTATTTACAAATCAAGGGAATGTATTTTATGAAGTTTCTTTTAATAAAATTCCCCTGAGTTTTAAAAGGATGAAGAGGATAGTTCAAATGGCAAGATTGTCCAAAGCCATTTGTGTTGTATACGTGCTTAGTTATGATGAGGAAGTTGGAGTGCTTTCTCCTGGGCTTCCCCCCTTTACCGTGCTCTTTCTTGAAGCTGTGGGGGGGGGGGGTTCTAGAACAGAGGAAGGATAGGTCCTCTCCCAGGTTTCCATTTTTTCCCCTGCTGTAAGTTCACAAACGGCTCTTCACTGTAGAATCTGTAAAGAACCAAATGAATCTTTTGATTTTATGGTTCACGCTGTGTGACACTGGAGTGGGGGCAGGAGGGTGGAGATACAAAGTGTTTGGACCCTTCTGGTTTATGGGATTGTCTTTTTCCCTTTTTCCCCTTAGGAACGGCGTGAATGTTGAGGGGGCGACACACAAGCAGGTGGTGGACCTGATCCGAGCAGGCGAGAAGGAATTGATCTTGACAGTGTTATCTGTACCTCCTCATGAGGCGGATAACCTAGATCCCAGTGACGACTCGTTGGGACAATCATTTTATGATTACACAGAAAAGCAAGCAGTGCCCATATCGGTCCCCACATACAAACATGTGGAGCAGAATGGTGAGAAATTTGTGGTGAGTGTCAGCCCAACATGATTCTCAAACATCTAGCTTTCTTTTCCTGCAGTCTTACCATTGTGAATACATTAGAGTAGTAGAATAAAAGACTGCAGCTTAGGTCAGTTTGTCTATCAGGAAGGTGGGTTCACACATAAATAAGAAACTAACCCTGTTTATCTCCAGGAGTGAACTACAGTAATGAAGAAGAGTCCTATAGTCCTATTTCTGCTTAAGCACGATTCCATTTTATTTCCTGTTTCACGTTTGCTTTCTGCTCCGTAGTAAACAAGTGTGAGCTTGTTTTACCTGTTTGTTCTTTTATTGGCTGTCATGATTCTTTGCTAATAGTAGTCGCTCGGTTATTGTTGACACTTTGGAGCATAGAGCAAGATTAATTTTAAAAAGGTGCTGTCTTTCAAAATATCGGGGTAATACAGAGGTTTGTGCATTTTGGATTCTAGGCCTCCCTACACTTTCTTCATATTTAGTTTTTTTTTTTTTTTTTTTTTTTTTTTCATTTCTTTGGCGGTGTTTTTGTGCATGAATAACTCTGGTCTTTCCCAAGGTTCTAGCATTCTGAATGCAGTTTCCATGAGCTATTTTACACATTTCCAAATTGCTGCTGTTGGCAATATGTAGGAAATCCATCTTGAATTCAAGGTAATATGTGCTAGCCCCTTTCCTGAGTGCTGCTGTTTGTTTTTCAGCACCTAGTTGCCACTAACATCCCACTCTACATATTTTTCTGTTGGTTGCAGTAGGCTTTATTTGCCTTTGACTATATTGGGAATGTTGATATAATGAAAAGCGTTCATTAATGAATTCTTTTATTCTTTGTAGACAATGTCATGGGTTAGATATTGGCAAACAGACTGCAAGCGTTTAAGCCTGAACTGCTCATTAAAGTTGAGTTCTCTGGAACTAGAATCTCTCCTCTCCATAGGAATGAGCCACTAAACATTTATAGTATTTTTTTTTTAATGTGGGAAAATGGGAAAGCAAGGAAGCTGGAAAAGTTGCCGAGGAATCAGATACTTTTGCTGCTCTAAATCAGCTGAAATGATAGCACATAGATTATATATCTGCATATATATCTGATTATATATCTGCATACCTGTTTTAGAAATGTCTACAAAGTTTAGAGGTTTGTGCTTCAGAAGTGCAGACTTTGAATCATAAGACAGATAAGAAATTGAAGTCAGGGTCAGGTTTTCAAAGTAGAGCAGACTGGTTGCTGAGACCTTTTGGGAACCCTAAGATCTTGAGAACTTCTATGGACTTGGGAAAAGGATTGAAATCGCTAATTATTCTTTTTTTAAAAATCAACCTTATTGAGCACATTCTACCTATTTTAGCATTCAACCAGTTAAATGTCCAATTTTATGAGTTTTTACAAATGTACATAGTCTTATAACCTTCAGCACTGCCACAAGAAAGAGAGAACGTTTTCAGCACCCCCCACAGATTTCCCTGTGCCCCCTTCCAGTCTTCTCTCCCTAGTACTGCCCTTGTCAACCACTGATTTGCTTTCTGTCACTGTGTTTTATTTTATTTTTTTTAAATATCAAATAAGTGGAATTATACAAAATGTATTTTTCTGTGTCTGGCTTTTTCAGTTAGTATAGTCCTCTTGAGATTGACACAAGATTGACACACTGTTACATGTTAATGTGTGTTAGATTGTTCATTTGGGGGCTGCATCCTTTTTTTATTTTCCCTTTGGTGGTGCTGGGGATTGAACCCAAGGTCTCATGCTTGCTGGACAAGCACTCTGCCCCTGAGCTATCTATCCCCAGCCCTGTTCCTTTTTTTTTTTTTTTTTTTTTTTGTGGTGCTGGGGATTGAACCCAGGGCCTTATGCATGAGAGGCACTCTACCAACTGAGCTATGTCCCCAGCCCGGCCCTTTTCCTTTTTAACTGCTGAGTAATAGTCCATTAAATAATTTACTATAATTTGTTTATTCACTCATTATTGATGCACAATTGAATTGTTTTCAGTTATTACGACTGAGCTGCCATGAAATAACATTAATGTATGGATCTTCTTGAAGATATGTTTTTCTTTCTCTTGAGTGTATACCTAGAAGGGAAATTGCAGGTTCTCTTTTTTTTTTAAATATATTTTTTAGTTGTAGGTGGACACAATACCTTTATTTTATTTTATTTTTTTGTTGCACTGAGGGTTGAACCCAGTCCCTCACACATGCTAGGCAAGTGCTCTACCACTGAGCCCCAGCCCCAGCCCAGAATTGTAGGTTCTTATGGTTAAGAGTTTAGTTTTAACTTGCAGGAAACTAAGAAGCTGCCACACTATTCTACAATGTGGATGTACTACTGTTTTCATTTTTATTTGCTGTAGAGAGTTCAGTTGATCCAAAATTTCTTGAACTCTTGGTATTTTCTGTCTTAAAAAAAAAACAAACACACAAACCAATTATCTATTTATTTATGTATTTCTGGTCTGAGGATCGAACCCAGTGCCTCACATGTGCTAGGCAAGCGCTCTGCCACTGAGCACAGCCCCTTGTCAGTCTTTTTTGTTGTTGTGTACCTGAGCACATGCTTTGAGCTGCATCCCCAGCCCCCCGTCTTTTTATTTCTAGCCATTCTCATGGGTATAATCGTAACTCATTTTGGTTTTAGTTTACAGTTACCTAATGATTCATGACGATGAGCTTATTTTTCTGTGCTTAGTGGCCATTCATCTGTCTTCATTGGTGAAGTATGTGTTTAAGGCTTCTGAACATTTAAAAAATTGAATTTATTATTTCGTTGTGAGGATTCTTTGTATATTCTGGATATAAATCCTTTATCAAATAGATGTTTTAATAAATGTTTTTTCTGGTCCATGGCTTGACTTGGCCTTTCTTTCTTTTTCAGTACAGGGGATTCAATCCACTGACGACATCCCCAGCCTTTTTTTTTTTTTTAGTTATAGATGGACACAATACTTTTATTTATTTATTTTTATGTGGTGCTGAAGATCAAACCCTATGTCTCATGTTGTGCTATGCATGTGCTCTACCTACCACTGAACCACAACCATAGTCTCCCGCCCCGCCTTATTTTTTATTTTGAGACAGGGTCTCACTAAGTTGCCAAGAAAGCTGGTCGGGAACTTGCAATCCTTCTGCCTCAGCCTCCCTAGTGGCAGGATTATAGGCATGTGCCGCTATGTCTGACTTTTTTTCCTTTTTTCTTTTTGGTATTAGGGATTGAACCCAGGGGCACTTAACACAGAGCTATATCCCGGCTCTTTTTATTTTTTGTTTTAAGATGGGATCTGGCTAAGTTGCCAAGGCTGGCTTTGAACTTGCAATCCTTCTGCTTCAGCTTCCCAAATTGCTGGAATTACAGGTGTGTGCCACTGCATCTGACAAGGACACCCGTCTTTTATGTGTTCTTATAAAAGTTGAATAGTTATTTCTCTTTTTGTAATAACTATAGAGGTATGATTTATCTACTACATATTCATTTTTATAAATTGTACAATTTAGTAGTTTTTGGTTTGTTCATAGAATTATATACACATCATTACAATCAATTTTAGAATATTGTCATCTCCTCAAAAAGAAACTATATGCTGTAGCCATTATCCTTAAACCTTCTGTCCCCTCCAGTCCTAGGTGACCACTAATCTACTTTGTGTCCTGTATAGGCCACTATACTAGACATTTTATATAAATGGAACTATGTGATTTTTTTTGCGTGACTGATTTCTTTGATTTTGCATAATATTTTCAAAGTTTATCCATGTTATAGCATGTATCAGTATTTCATTTTTATTGCCAAATGTACAACTTTTAATCTCTCCATTCTTCAAATGGTGGGCATTGAGTTGTTTCCACTTTGAGGCTATTATGAATGCTACTCTTAATGAGTGGTTTTTGTTCTGTTTGCTACTGGGGATTGAACCGAGGGGTGGCCTATGTCTCCATCCATTTTTTTTTTTTTTTTTTTTTGTGTGTGTGTGTAGTGTTGGGGATTGAACTCAGGGCCTTGTGCATGCTAAGCAAGCACTCTACCAACTGAGCTATATCCCCAACCCCTTGTCCCCAGCCCTTTTTATTTTTTCTTTGAAACAGGGTCTTGCCAAGTTGTTGAGGGCTTCAATAAATTGCTGAGGCTGGTCTTAAACTTGGATTCTCCTAAGTCAGCCTCTTAAGTTGCTAGGATGGCAGGTGTGTGTCTCTGTACCTGGCTTCTTTTAATCATTTATGTGTAAGTTTAAACAAATTAAAACAATTTTTTGTACTAGGGATTGAACCCAGGGGTACTTTACCACTGAACTACATCCCAAACCCTTTTTATTTTGAGACAGGGTCTCCCTAAGTTGATGAAGCTGGTCTTGAACTTGGGATTCTCCTGCCTCAACTCTTTTTAATTCTTTTATTTTGAGACTTTGCTAAGTTGGGCAGGCTGGTCTGGAACTTGCAATCCTCTTGTCTCAGATCCCTGAATAACTGGGATCATAGGCATGTGTCACCATGCCAGACTCACTGTGCCATTTTAATATGTATATATAATATGTAATGATCATATAGGGGTAACTAGATATCTTTGTCTTGTTCCTGATCTTAGAGGAAACAATTTCAGCTTTTCCTCATTCAGTATGATATAGGCTGTGGGTTTGTCCTTATTGTATTGAGGTGAATTACTTTTATTCCTAAATTTTGAACTTTCTCTTTTTTAATATCATGAAGGGTTGTTGAATTTTAGTGAATACTTTTTATGCATTTGTTGAGATAATCATACATTTTTTATTCTTCATTATATTGATATTATTGATTTGTGTGTGTTGAACTATCCTTGAATCCCTGGGATAAATTCCACTTGATATTGATGATGATTTGATCTTTTGTATATGCTGTTAACTTTGACTAGCTTGTATTTCATTGAGGTTTTTTTGCATCTTTCTCAGGAAAAGAACACTACATCTTTCTGTAGTTTTCTTGTTATACCTTTGTCTAGTTTTGTATCAGGGTAATGCTGGACTTATACAGTGAGTTTGGAA